TAGGGGAATTCAACCTATGAGGGGAAGGTCATCTTTTTTCCTTGCGGGAGACGTGGGAGGTAGGGTTGCGTGAACAGGGCAGTGGATCCGTGCTCCTGAGAGTGGAGCTGCAGCCGTTGCTCCTCCTGCTTGCCCAGGATGTTAAAAAGGGGCAGGTGGGGTTTCCAAGGAGGCAGTGAGACTTGTGCGTTACTCTCGTTCACTCTACTTGTGTGTTACTTGTTCACCGCTCTCCCAACTTGGAGTTTATGGCTCTTGGTGGTGTTAGGACATAAACCGTCCATTTCCTCAGAGAAGAGAAGAAAACAGCGTGCTCCCAAGATGGCAGTTACCTTTACATCATTCACCTTACATTTTTTAAAAGTATGTTAAAAGACATGAGTTACATAAAATGACTGAAAAAGTCTCCTTAGAATGTCTTTAGGTAGCAGTACTTTCAGACTCCAATTTTCTGGTTTTTCACTTTACATATATTATTTAGGGTCTTTATTTTTACTTCCCCTGCCACTATAGCTTCATTTCCTTCAAAGTTCAAGGGATTTGCCTCTTCCTCTCTGCCTTTTTAAGATCAGTTTCTTAATCTCTCCCTGATGTTCCAAGTCAGAGTTTTTACTGACAAGTCTTGACTGAGCACAATGTTGATTTTCTCTGAGAGAAAACTGGAAAATACATTCTCTCCTTTATGGGAACCACAGTCCTGGTGAGGATGATGCAGGAAAAATATGGGGCATGAGAAGATGGCCATGTCCTAGGTCCCAGGCGAGTCTCTCAGACACGCCCCATCAAGTGTGGGTTCTTGGCTTCATGCAGGAAAGAATTCAAGAATGAGCATCAGTTGAGTAAAGGTAGATTTATTCAGAGAGATGCACACTGCATAGACAGAATGCTCGCCATCTCAAAAGGCAAGAGAAAAGGGAGAGAGAGAGCACAAGCGAGACTGAGCCCGGGTGTGGGGTTGTTAGCTGTTATGGGCTCTGTAACTTCATATGCTAACAAGTGGGAGGATTATTCCAGCTAGTCTGAGGAAGGAGCTAGGAGTCCCAGGAACTGGGCCATCATACACTTTTTGACCTTTTATGGTCAGCCTTGAAACTGTCATTGGCACCCATGGGAGTAACATTTAGCTGCTGTTGTATTTCAGTGATCTTATATCAAAGCTCAAGGTCTATTAAGAATTGAGTCTTCCGCCATCTTGGTGCTCCTTGCTGCATCATTCCTTTAATGGCTGTGCCCTGTCCCCTTCCCTCTGTCTCAAGGAGACAATGCATTTTCCAGCCCCCCAAAAAAAAGAATATGCTATGAGCTGATATGGATATTGTAAGGACAATTCTTCCTTGAAGGAGGAGTTGAACTGGACCTTGAACATCCCTGAAATTTCTAAACATGAAAAAATAAAAAAGGATCTGCTTGGTCAAAGTTACAGAAGCAGAAAACTATAACAATTTATAGCAGAAAATGAATACATTCTTTTAATTGGGGCAGATGGCTCCTGTAAGAAAGCATTGTGAGAAACTTCACTAGATACATGAGGGTTAGCATATGCTGTGGAATCTGGATTCTTTTATCGTTACTGAACAAAAGCTTGTGTGTCAAACGCACAGTGAGACCAGACAAACTGAAACTTCAGTCTGAGTTGGGAGCAGAGAAGTGTTTATTGCAGGGCCAAGTCAGGAGAACTGGCAGCTCGTGCTCAAAAAACCCAAACTCCTCGATGGTTTTTGGGGAAAAGTCTTTATAGGCAAAATTTGCGGTGAAAGTTTCAGTGTATGTGCCTTTCCTCTGATTGGTTGGCGGTGAGGTAACAGGGCGGTGCTCACTCTTGTGCTCAGCCTGATGTTGCCATCCTCCTCCTGGTTGAGGGCCTTAGTTCCTGCAGAAGAACTCAAAGGTATTGTTATGTGTATTCCTTGAAAAGGAACCAGGACCCTGCCCCAAGGCTGCACTATTCTTTCTTGAGTGTTCCTCGGAGTCTCTGTGCTCCCTCCCTTCCCTGACTAGCAACTGTTTGAATCTGCCCTTTGGAACTCAGGGAAGATCAAGGAGGTTGAATGAGGCCTATGTCCTACTAACAAGAAATGGAGGACACCGAAAGTATTTTTTAACCAGGGCGGACCCCACAGGGTCCTGTTCTGTTTCATTATGAATGTAAGAGGACTATACTGAAAACCTTGGAGAGGAAGATGGCATGCTGAAATGATAGGACAACTTGAATCTGACTGACAGACAGGATGGATGGGTGGGGAGAGCCTGGGGCCATAGCTTGGGTGAAAGAGCACAAACAGAGCCTGAGAGAGAATGGAAACAGTGAATGGGATGGACTGTGGAGCTGTAAAATGAGAGCTGATCTGCCTGCAGGAGCTGGGGAGGGGGCTGTGTAGGAGGAGGGAGGAAGAGGATTCATGGATGACTCAGTAACATCGTCACACAGAAGCTTAATTGCCGCCTTTTCCTCAGGTGCTAAGTGATGGGAATACAGAGAGGCTAAGTTCATTAACAGAATGGTTAGGAAGACGTGGCAGGGATCCACCCTGAGAAACTCAAAGCCTTTAAGGCTGAGTGAGGCAGTAAGCTGAGGAGTTCAGAGAAAGAAATCGTGCCTAAGGTTTGGAATCATGGGAGCTTCCGGAAGAGATGGGACAGTAGCTGAACCTCGAATAGTGAGTAGGATTTGGAAAGAATGGGAAGGGGAGGTAAAAGGGTGGGGTGAGGGGATGAGAAACAAAGGCACAGGGGTAGGGAAACACAGGAGTGTTTGTGGCATGTGGAGCAAGCCCATCAGGTTAGAGCAGAGTTTATATAAAAACTCAGAGAGAAAAAAAGAGAAGGTAGAGATGTTTGATTAGCCAATTAAAGTTTTTAATTTAACCCTGGGCGATGTCAACTGCTGACATTTTTTGAGCAAGGGGGTGGCCAGTGCCAAAGGGTCTTTGGGGAAGTTTCATCTGTGAAAGATGGGGGGAGTATATAGAAGTAAGGAGATGATACTAGCAAGAGGAGTAGTTGGGTAGCTTCTAGTCAAAAGGGACGAGATGTAAACTGGGCTGACAAAGATCATGTAAAAAGTCTAGAAAAGAGGCAAAGAAGTTACTGATAAGCCCAGGGGAGAGCAAAAAGTACAGAGTTTTACTCAAGATTTCAAACTTGGGAGGCTGTGATAACCATTGTGCATGTATCAAAGTGTTAAAGTCCAGAGAGGACTGCCTGGAGGAAACCCAGAGAATTTAGTCTCAAAGACATGGAGCCTGAAAGATGGCAGCCGAGCAAATGTGTCCAGAGGTGTTAGAAGCAGGGGCTTGAGGCTCAGCTGGAAGACAGATTCCCCATTCCAGGTTGGAAAAATCCACACAGCTCAGCAATTGTTTGAAGTGTTTAATTGATTTATTTATTCAGAAAGTGAAGTATTTTCAAAAGCTAATTTGAGAACTTACACTCTCTTGATGCAGATGAATTCTCAATTGCTCTTTTGTTTTCCTTGCAAAACAGTTCAACTTGTATGAGGTAGAATTTGAGGAGGACAGTGGAAGGGTTTTCTCACTATTTCAGGTGTAGAAATTGTGGGCGTTGGACCTCCTACTTGTGATATTGTCTTCAGCGGTAATAATTCCTATTTTATACATCTTTCTGTCAATTGCAGCACCTAGCACAGTGTTTTTGCACATTATAAATACTCAGTGTTGATTGATTTGCATTTTGCTGCCAAAAAAATTAATCAATCTAAAAAAGAAATGGAAAGTTTTATTTGAGCCAAATTTGAGGATTATAACCCAGGAAGAGCATCTCAGAAAGCTCTGAGAACTGTCCCGCCAGTTAGAAATCAAGGCACAGTTGTGTAAGTTTTTTGAGACAGAGGGCTGTACATTAAATTATGTATTATTGACAGTTTACATAATCCAGATCTAAGCGTCATCCTGGTGGGTCACGTGACCCCTTACAAGATCAAGAAGGCATGTTATCTTTTAAGGAGTTGCCGTGCTGATGCTT